TTGTCGCATAATTTCGTACGCCATTTTTTGTTTCCCATTGAGCTATCAATCTATCGCAATGATTCGTTACTATGCACTAGGACGCGTACCTCTTATTCAAGCGGGAATTGCGTGAAATTATGAAAGATGTTGTCTCCGCCATAATTGAAATGAGAGGTTACTCGAAGAAGACGATTGAGGGCGTGATTTCGGCTCCGATAGTTGGGCCCCGATGCGTTTACACGTTCGGAGCCATGCCGGGACTCAACCCTATCGGAGTTCAACCCTGAGGGTTTAGTGGAGCCGAACTTGGCTTGTTGGGGAGTAAATGTAGTGTGTAGCAGTTAACTCCCCGGGGTAGGATTCGGGAAGACTATACCGGAACAGAACCAGACAGATCAGTTGTATACAAAAAACACAGTGGTGGTTTATTGCCAGATAGACTGATATAGTAAGTAGTAACAACAGATGAACACTGGTGAAATACACAAATTCTGAGTATATATACTCTCTGAACGAACGTGATAGAAAACACAACTCTATAAAGTAGTAATCGTAACGCAAATATAAATTGGCGGGAATGTGTACGATAGGTCAATAACATCTCGCCTGTGATAGGCTAAAATTAAAACAATCTGATTGGCTGAGAGATTTATCTCAGAATCCGAGACGTAACGTTACATGACTGCTTCTCTAAATGGCTCGAGCCGAACGCGTTCACACGGCCATTTTTGCTGGCTCGAGCCGGCTCGAGCCTTTGGGCTCCGATAAAATGCTGTCGTGTGAACGTAGCAATTGCGTGTCAGATAGCTACTGATAACACATCCTAACATTGCTTTGTCTTGAGTTAATCTTTGAAACTTATAGGCACACAAATTAAACCTGTGTTGTTGAATTTAGAAAACACTACTGAAGCTGCCTTGCTTCCCTTCAGAAAATCTACATTTTAGCCAACTTACATGACATTCTAGATTACGTTGACTTTGTCAGATGAAAGTTTATAGTGCATTTCATCAATTAATAAATAAATGTGAAAATCGGAATTTTCAACACAAATAATAGTCTCGCTACCTTAAATTTACTTCATCGTGTTAATTGTTTTGAAAGAAGCGAAAAAACGAAGCTAATTAGCATTTCCATAACCAAATGATAAAATAGTTATCCTCAATAGTTTGGACAGGAATGAGTGAGATTGTCCAGTGACACTGACCGTGACCTCTTGCTTAAAAATATCTGAAAATTTAAATGATCTAGTACCTCACTGATATCTTCCGAGCCCAAGAAAAACAACATCCAAATCGCGTGAAAATAAAGACAACACAAGTTTTGCCTTATGTGTATTTCAGGCATACCCAGCTACGATTCGCTAGATTGTTTGATCTCGATGTCCGATTACGATTACACCATGTCGACTGAAAGTCAAATTACGTATTTATCAAATGCCCTTCTCCTTTCCAATGTCAAAAGTATATGTGTGAAATTAACAGTTTATTATCAAGCAAAACTAAACAGTTGGTACAAAATGGTGAATCTATATAAATTACAATACACCATTCCCGTCCGTATAATTCGCGCCTCCTGCACTGCGCTGGAGTGTGTCTGTGACATCAAAATGACGTACAGTGTCACTCAAATCGTCGCTAGAGGGCGTGGTTACAAGAAAGAAGTTTAAACAGGCAAAATTCCAAATTAGACAAATTTCACAAATATATTACAAGGTCATTTCAAAATAGACATACATAATGAGAACAAATAAAAAAAAAAAGTATGAGAAGTCGTCTGCCTCGCTTGTGTCGATGTAATAGTAGATCGCCTATACCATAGTTCTCATAATGTATTGGGCAACCGATAATTTCAGTCTGTTCTTAGTATGCACGACGCGATGTTACCATGGAGAATAATTGAATTCAATAAGATGGCGGCAATCTTTGCGGACAAAATAAAATACATGCATGTATGTATGTGAAAAAAAAGAATGTATTCCCATATACCACGTCGTGTCGCGGAAAATCTGATTAAATTCCGATGTAGGCTCTAATATTTTGTTTTAATTTTTTTAATTGTTTTTTAATATTTTAATTTTTTTTTCTTTTATTTGTGAATATTTTTTGGTTTTACTTGGCGTTATTAGTTTTTTATATATATCGTATCTCGTCGCCTTATATAAAAAAAACTTATTAACGGCAAGTAAAACCAAAAAATAGACATAAATACAAAAAAAAACATAAAATATATATATATGAATTTAAAAATATAAAAATTAAAAAAAAATTACAGCCAGCCTGAGGTCCTACATCGGATTTTAATCAGATTGATCTAATTCTATCCCCTCCTACTAATGTTGGCAGGGCGAAGACTTAATATGGTAATTGTCTGGCATTCAGTTGATAACAATCATTAGTTGTTTGCTACTTTAGATCAGTCTAACCTGTGAATATGTCCCCAAGTCATGTTTTGAGTGGTAGGTCAGATTTATATGTCTGTGGGTTGTAATGGCGCCAGAGTTGGGCGCCACAATTACTTTCATTGACAAACATCGGCAGTTTCTGGTCTAACATAGTGCGCCATCTAATGTTGGTCTAGCCCAATTTACCATATTTACTGCAAACGGTTTAATTTTTCGAAATTTAGATGAATACTAGTAGTAGAATACACCTTTCCTATCAAATCGCACCCTCTGGCGACGAAGGAATCTGTAACGTCAATGATGGGTGACATGAAAACCATTGAAAGGATCGATGTCGTTTTGATCAGTTGTCGTTCATAAATGAAGCTTATGTTCCCGAACGTCAATGCTTCCACCCACATACGACACAGAAGTTCTCCAACACTCGAAGGCGCAATCTATAGTAATGACATATAGAAGATAGTATTCGGTAATCAATAGCATAGAAGAAAATGTTTTCTTCTATTCTATCGATAAAGAGCTATTGCTCGAAACGTCTATCTATTTTTGATAGTTAATTACCAAATATTATCTTCTATATATCATATTTATCAGTCTGAGCAGTGTTTATTAATTTATATACTACTTTTACAACCTATAGTAATGGTGTATTATGCTTGTCACAGTTTCACTCAAATTAATATACGTGACGTAATTTCTCCTTAATTAAGATAAATAAACATTCTAATATTATTATAAATATTTTTGAGTTTGTGTGACTGAACCTATTTGGCCGACCAAGCCTGTGTTAATTGAAACAGTTTACAGCGAAGTGTATTAATTTCACTAAAAATTAATTTCAATAATTTCGCTGAATGAATGATTCAGTTGAAATAACATCCAGTAAATATACTTTTTTCACTATATTTTATATTTAACTCATTGAAGTCAGTGAAAATAAACTTTACAAAACTGCCAAAATGTCTTTTCAGCAAAAATTAAATTCAGCTATGATAAAGAATTTGACAGTATTCCGTTGTCAAAATACTTTTCTGGTTCTGGCAAAATAACTTGAACTTGAATAACGTCGTGATTTTTTTTTTTATTATTACGCAAATGTTTTGACGTTTTCTCGTCATTCATATATTTGTGACAGTGTCAAATTCTTATTTTCTATACTGAAAGATGAAAAAAGAAAGAAAATTATCCACGAGGAGCCCTCAACACATTCATGGGAAGATTTGGCCCAGAGCCGCGCTAGAGAATGGAAATACGCCCTCTGTCGACGCACAGTATATCAATGCAGTCACGATACTATGACAACATTCACGTTGTAGACGACTTCTGGGGGCTTGCTACGATGTAGCGCAGCACGGATGTGTCAATCTTCTAATGAAATCTACTCTTCCTCACCAGTACCGGCATAGGTGACAA